AGGATATAAAGAGAAGTCCATTTTCCTTTTGTGATCAGCAGAGCCCTATACTTGGCCATTTCTCTTCCATCGCCATCGCTCTGCTGAAAGTACTCTGGGAAGTTACCAATGATGCCTATTTGCTGACTATGTAGTTTCTCATCAGTCCTCTCATAACCACAACTTCTTAACTCTCCTATGGCAGGGGCCAAGTCTACTTGCTCTTCCTCCTGGCACTCAGCTAGATGACATTTTGCAGTATCCTTTGCAGTGAGGTGTGGCTATGTGACTGAGCTTTCTCCAGTAGAAATGATCCATGCTGTTTCCAGGCCAGGAGCTTATGCTTCAGGGGCTTTGCCCCTCCTTTTGCTCCTCCAAGCTCTTTCCTTGGTTGTCTGGTATGGAGATCTACTCTCAAGGTGACACCAAAAAGTAAGGATTAAAAATGTAAAACCATCAATCTGGGTTCCTGAAGAACTTCATGGAACACAGCATCCTCCTGACCCCTACAGCCCCACACGAAGACACTGAACTGGACTTTTACAAAAAGAAGTAAACTTCTAGTGCTGAGCCACGGCATTTGGGTCTATTTGTTATGCATCTTGGTACGTCAGTAACTCAGAAATCCCTAATTTCTTAAAATGTCTTTTCTTCTGTTTCCATGACACTATCATCCATCGTCTTCCTTCTATCTCTCTAAATGTTCTTCTGTCTCACTTTTTAAACTGCCCAACCCTTACAATGGGGAATTTTCCCCAGGCCATCTTCTCTTTCAAACTCTTCTCACCTGGTATGTTTTTTCTGGAATGGTTTCCTTCTTCCCTATGGCTTAACCTACCACCAATCTGCTGATGGGCCCCAAATCTATCTCCATTACTTATTCCCACATTCACCAGGTTCCCACCTGAAAACTTCGCTGTGTGTAATCTCTTTAGTCAGTTACCCAGTCCTCCCACTTTAGGGCCAACTTTAACTCCTCTTTCTTTCCAGTCTTCCATCCCTACTCAACCACTAAGACCTATTGATTACCCTTCAAAAATGTCTCACATAATGCTTCCCACAACCTCTCAGTCTCTCCATCTCTATTTCTACTACCTTAGTTTAGACCCAATCACTTCATCTTTGCAAGAAGTCTCCAAATGTTTCACTATTGCCTGTTTCCCTAGCCTGTCACCGTATCTTGGTCAGAATTTCTGAACAAAAACATGTACCTACTAATCTGACCATGAGAGACCTTCTCTGGTTCTCTGTTGTCATTCTAAACAATAATTATAGCTATTATTTAAGGAGAGCTTCCTATGTGCCAAGTACTATGCTAAATGTTTTAATAAAATAAATTTAGCATTTATCTCCTTTGTTCTCTGGACAATTGTTTTTTATTTGTTTGTTTTTTGTACTTTAGGTTCTGGGGTACATGTGCAGATCATGCAGGATCGTTGCATAGGTACATATATGGCAATGTGGTTTGCTGCCTCCATCCCCCAATCACCTATACCTGGCATTTCTCCACATGTTATCCCTCCCCAACCTCCCCACCCCCCGGTCTCACCCCAGCCCCCCCAACAGACCCCAGTGTGTGATGTTCCCCTCCCTGTGTCCATGTGTTCTCATTGTTGAACTCCCACTGATGAGTGAGAACATGTGGTGTTTGATTTTCTGTTCTTGTGTCAGTTTGCTGAGAATAATGGTTTCCAGATTCACCCATGCCCCTAAAAAGGACTGGAACTCATTGTTTTTTATGGCTGCATAGTATTCCATGGTGTATATGTGCCACATTTTCCTTGTCCAGTCTATCATCGATGGGCATTTGGGTTGGTTCCAGGTCTTTGCTATTGTAAACAGTGCTGCAATGAACATATGTGTGCATGTGTCTTTATAATAGAACGATTTATAATCCTTTTTCTGGACAATTGTTGAAGTGAGCACTGGTATCCTCATTTTAGAAATTAAAACCCACCAATGTAGTATAAGTAACCTCGTTCTCAATCACAAAGTTATTAGTGGAGCTCAAATTCAAATACGATTCATTCTGACCTCAAGGCCTCTTGCTTAACACTGTGCAAAACTGCCTCCATCTTACACTAAACTTGTGTATAGCACATGAGGCCCTTCAGATTCCAGCCCAAACCACTAACTTCTTTATTTTCACCTCCACTTCTTACATTCTAGAAATCAGACCCACTGAACTTGTTACTGTCCCTCAAATGCTTTGCCGTTTCCACAGTTAAATAAATTACTTCCCCAGCATAGTCTTCAGCATGAGGCAAGTGCTCAAAGTATTTCACTTCCCCTCTTCTACTCCTCATGAATCGTTCTCATATGTATCCCATTCCTTCTGCCTATAATTCCCTTTCCATCTTCAATACCCAGCATATTCTGAAACAGTTTTCAGAAGTCAGTTGGAATAGTTTTCCTCCACTGTCAAGCCTTCCAGACAGATTGCTCTGGAAAGAGTTTCTTGCACCTCTCGGTTCCCATAGCAGGCCTTTAATTCCTTCATCGTAGTCTTTAGCCTCTCATATCGCAATCAATCTGTCTCCTATTATTCATCTACTGTAAACTCACTAGGGTCAGGGAACACTTTATTCCTGTCTTTATCTATGGCCCTTTACGTACATAATAGGTCCTCGAAGTCTAATTGTTGAATGAATAGTATATGAATGAATGACATAAGCACTTTTCATAAATGCTCATTGTTAATTAGCTCTCTTGAGACCTAATCCTAGCTGCTGTTATTATTTTACATAATTGAAAAATGTGCTAAGCATCCCAAAAGTCACCAAAAATCAGTTTCGAGCTGTGCTGATCAATACAGTAGGCACTAAGCCATATGTGGCAATTGAGCACTTGAATTATGGCTAGTATAACTTGAAATGAGCTATAAATATACAGAATTCTAAAGACAATTTTGTAAAAAGAATGTAAAATATTCCATTAGTAATTTTTATACTTATTACATACTGAAATATTTTTGATGTGTTAGTTTAAATAAAATATATTATTAAAATTAATTTCCCTAATTTCCTTTTGCTTTTCTAATGTGGTTATTTTTTTAAAAATTAAAATTACATATATGGCTTGCATTATATTTCAGTTGGACAGCACTGATTTTGAGTTTCTAATTTTATGAGGGATGTTAATGAGCTTGGGTAGGATAACATTGAGTCAGGAAACTCCTTTCTCTCTCCTCCAAAGCCACATTATCAAAGACAAGAGGGAAGGAAGAAAGGAATGAAGGAAGAAGGGAGGGAGGAAGAGAAGGGAGAGGGAAACAAAGAAGGAACTAGAGAGACAGAAAGGAAGGAAGAAAGGGTTAAGGAAAAGAAGGAAGGAAAAAAAGAAGTTAGTTCCAATTTAACTTAACAAATAGCTCAGAAAGCTAATAGAGCACACGACTACATACCTGGACGATAAAGATCATCTTTTCAATCAAAAACAACAACTACTTAGTCTCTTTCATATAACATTAATTTTATAACTGTTAATCAAACATCGAGAAGGCCCTAGATATGTCTAGACTTTAATTCAGATAGTGGAAAATTTAAAAATAGCTAATACACTAGAACTTTCTAAGGAGGGCATTAGCCAGAAGAACTCAGAATGAGAAGGGGCATTATACTTTATTAACTTTATAATGTCTGATGTTTATTGGATGCCACTTCAAATTCGTACTAAAGAGAGCCAGAAAAGGATGGCAGGGAAGGGGAGGGAGAGGAGGGGAAGGAAAGAGGAGATAAAATAACAGCAAAGAAAAAAAAGGGAAGAGGAAAGGAGAAGAGGGAAGGAAAACAGGAGAAGTTAAGAGTCCACACTTACATTTTATAACAATCATTAAAGTTTATTTTCTACTGGGATAAAGACATAATTGCCAGCTTTGGCTCCATGGTTCTTAGAGGTCCTCTAGCCTAACTCTTAGCCAATTATTGAACTCTGCTCTGACAAGCTCAACAAATCTCTGGAATACAAGCTGTGGAAATTTTAATATCTGCTAAGTTCAGTTATCAGTACTAATAACACCTATAATTATGTTTCAGAATTAATTTTGAATTTTTTTTTTTCTGAGACTGAGTCTTGCCCTATCACCCAGGCTGGAGTACAGTGGTGTGATCTCGGCTCACTGCAACCTCCGCCTCCCAGGTTCAAGTGATTCTCCTGCCTCAGCCTGTGGAGTAGCTGGGATTACAGGCACGTGGCACCACACCCAGCTAATTTTTTCTATCTTTAGTAGAGATGGGGTTTTACCATGCTGGCCAGGCTGGTCTTGAACTCCTGACTTCTTGATCCACCCACCTTGGCCTCCCAAAATGCTGAGATTATGGGCATAAGCCACTGAGCCTGGCCTAATTTTGAAATTTCTTAGCAAATAGGATTATATAACTATCATTGCTATCTTAAATTAGATGCATTTTATGGAAATTATAATATTAGTGGTTTTATTACACAAATAAAATTTCAGAAAAACTTGACTATTTAGTAAATATTTCCTATAATGGTTACTACAATTGTGACATGGTATGGTACAAAAATAGTGGTCAGAAAATTCAGAGATTTGGGATCTTTTCAGCCTGGATTTTTTTTTTTTTTTGTGATGGAGCCTCGCTTTTGTTGCCCAGGCTGGAGTGCAATGGGGCAACCTCCCAAGTAGCTGGGATTACAGGCGCCCACCACCACGCCCAGCTAATTTTTCGTATTTTTAGTAGAGATGGTGTTTCACTATGTTGATCACGCTAGTCTTGAACTCCTGACCTCAGCCTCAGCCTCCCAAAGTGCGGGGATTACAGGTGTGAGCCACCATGCCCGGCCTTCATTTTTATACTTTTAAGACAAAAGGTAGATAATTCTTTAATGTAATTCAAGTCACAATATTCATTTCTATCTCAGATTTAAAAGCCTTAAAAATTCTCTTCAGTTTTCCTCCAAGTTAATAAACAGCGTTGTTTAGAAGAAAGGAAGAAAAAAGAAAACAAAAAGCCCCTGAGGTTGCTACTATAGAATCAAAGCATGAAAAAATAGTTTCTTACCACTTCTCAGCTGTTCAACCTCACAGAAGTGTGTTCCAGTGGGAGTGTGAATAAATGCATGGACATGCTTAACTCCATTCTGAAAATTAGGGAAACAAATTATTTCTAGGAAAAATTCAGTACTTGCCATAAAGCCAATTTCATTAATTAAACTGAGAGCACAAATAAGTGAGTTAACCTTTTCAAGCCGCTTCCAAGGGATTTCTTCCACATAGACTTGAGTTTGGATGACATGGTTAAAAGAAGAAAGAAAATGCTCACAAATATTCACAGCAAAGGTTTCTATGCTTTCGATCTGTAAAAAGAAACAAAATGCTTCAAACCAGAAATAATTGTCTCATTTAAAAATAATTTATAAATACTGTTAAATGAAATTATGGGAGGTCACTGCTTTGGACTAGGCTCCTGCATTAGGCCCCAGCAGACCAGACCAAAATGGAGTCGCTTAGGCTAAATGCCATATAATCAAACTGAAGCTTTAAGGAAGTAGATAGATACCAAAACAGACCAGTTTTTCCTGAAAACAGGAGATTCCAGTCTACCTGAGTCAGTCCAGTAAGGAAGTCCCCTCTGCTTTAACTCTTACCAAAAAGGTAACCTGAAACCTGATGGTAACCAATCAGGTTTTGTTGTTTGTTTTTTGGGTTTTTTCCCCCCATTGTGCTGTTTCTGGTTCCCACCTTACAAAACCCAATGTTTTGTTCTTGCCTAGTAGGAGCTCTTATTCTTTTTCGTGGAATGGAAGCTGCCCCAATAGTAAATAAAAACCAATTCAATCTATAACTAAATTTATTATAATTTTGTCTTTTGATATTACTCATGACATTGTCTTTCCTGATGAATTGCTTTTTAGAATGAGACAAGCACAGAATAGAAAGAGTCTGTCTCAAGAGATAAAGGTGTTTATCTTTCAAAAACTACAGTAACATTTTTACTAAAGCTCACAAATGAAGTTAATAATCACCATCACCAGGTGAGACTCCTGTTTTTAAAAGAAACCCATCTTGCAGGAGAGGATGTGTCAGTGGATGAGCAAAAAGTAACTTAACATTCAGATTCTTTTCACAGTGAGCTCAGTCATCACTTGTACCAAACACAGTGCACCATGACACTCTGAACTCTATGAGATTTGCAAATGGGCTTCCGAGTTTCCCAAGGAAAATTGTTAATGAAGAGCCACCTCACATTTCTTGCCTTGCATATAGGCTTTCTATTGATCCCAGCTGTCCACCCACATAATGCAGCTTCCATATTAATCCCTAGGCAATATTTATGGTGTTAGGACAGTCTGCAAATTATTAATGGTTTGCCTATAATTAAACTTATTTGTACAGCCTTCCCCAGTATAGTTCTGTTTTATACTTGTTGGCCCAGAATAATTATGAATAACATCCTATTTTGAGCTCAAGTGTCCTGGTTTGGATAAGAAGTTATATGATCACTCTATCCATAATGAATGATTTTGAGTGGCTTTTAACATTCAGGTCCATTCTTCACTTTTGTGCAAACTCCTAACAGTACAGGAAATATATGAATCTGTTGTACCTGGCCCTTGTCCATATCACAGTACAGGTCTACTTTCAAATGATTTTTTTAAAGAGTGCAATTCCTTTTTCCATAGCCCTGTCTATATTTGCTGGGTCATTCTGATTAGCAAGAGAAAAGTTCAGGGTGGAAATAGGACTTGCAGAAATTATATTGCAATGTTTGTTCATTTAATGAATCATGGGTATGGTTATTTTTTCATGTTTTTCATGAAAAAAAACATGAGAAAAGCAGCTTTCCAGTCTAAACTTCTTGTCTTTTTAGACTTCTTGGCAAGTAAAAAAAAAAAAATCACCTTGAATTGCCCAGAAATCTGGGTGGCCTCACACAGCTTCACTCACACTTGAAGAAGCCAGATGTGGACATGCTAAAATATCAGTTCTATCAGATCTAAATCTCACTTGAAAAGTCCATTTAACCACTGTATATCAACAGTAAATGGTAATAGAGTGGAGAAAGTTAGAATGGCATTAAAATTTGGAAAATAGATTTTAATAATAAAAATAACTGTATCTTATACTCAAGATTTTCATCTGTATTAATAAGTGAAATGATTTTTTTCTATAAACGTACACCATTCCAAAAAAATTAAAAAATAAATGGTAAGACTCAGAAATTCATGACAAAAATGTGTAAAATTCTATTCTAAAATTCTTTCAGGACCTTGGTTTTCCTTTGATTCTAATTAGAGATAACATATGTTTCGTCCAATAAGATTCTCTGCCTAAAAGATTGTAGTGAGATGAGAGCCAAGGCAAGAAAGATGTGAGGTCTGTTGTTGTTTTCTTTTTTTTTTTTTTTTCAGCAGTTTTCTTCAATCCTGAGACCTTTAGGATAGAAAAAAACATTTCAAAAAATGACTTAAATGTAAAAATAGGTTAAAATGCAAAGGGAACTTGAAATAAGCAAGTAACGCCTCATGCTGTTTTATAGCAAATTCTGCATCAAAACAGGCAGCATCTAAGAAGAATGACACATACTCCTTTAAACTTTGCCAAGGCATGAACTGTGTTCTTGATGGTGTCTGTAGGGATGATATCTGAATTGTCTCCATGCAGGTAATCTTTTTTGGAATTCAGAGTAAGTTGCACTGAAGTTGCCACTTCTTTAATGCTGTGATATTTTCCATCTCGCTGAATATGGAGAACTTTTACCATATCTTTCCCATAGCCAGTTCGGACAAACTCCACCTCATCATTCTGCAATGGAGACACAGACATCTTATTGAAGAAGGCTAAATGAAGGCCAAAAGTTAGGTGCAATTCATTTAAGCCTTAATTTTATTAGGCAATTATAAAAGATGAGATTCAGAGTATATATGGAAGCAATATCTCATTCTGCTTTTGAAAAAGAATGAGAACTTGTATAGAAAAGTGAGAATCCCAAGAAGCAAATGAAAATATATCGGATTGTTCTGAAGACTGACAGGTAGAAGGCTTTCTTGATAATAATAATAAATACATTAATAGGACCTCCTGGGTCAAAACTATACTAACTTGCTCTGCTTTATTTAATCGCCACTAACCTAATTCTTGTAACAGCACTGTAAAGTCCTTACAATCCCAGTGTAAAATGGGAACTAATATTCCCATTTTATGGCGGGAGAAAGTGAGTTTCAAAGATATTAAGTGATCTGCCCTAGTTCATATGGCTAGTGAAGGACGGAGCCAGGATTTGCACTCAAGTGTTTTGACTCTAAATTGTAGAATGGCAACTACGCAAACTGCTTTTCTTCTATAAAATTTCTTGACTGTATTAGTTGGAAATAATTGCATGCCCTTTATATATAGAGTGATATTCCGGAGAAAATGCTTTGTGATCAATAGAAACAATTTGAAAATTGCCTTTTCTACTTGCTGCCGGGAAGAGGAGTAATTAGTGACAGGGTCCAGATTACCTTCAGGAGTGCAGAGCCGAGGCTGTCTGGCTGCAGGGAGAGCTATGCTTTTAGTGAAGAGATAATTAATAGAAGCCTGGTGATTGATTCATTACTACCCTTGTCTGAAGCTGGAGCCTTAGCTCATTAACACATTCATCTCCACTGGTAGAATCCCCAAGATTTGTCCCTGGGTTTTACTGCTGTTTGAGGAAACAGGCAGGAGGGAGCTGAAGAACAGAAAAATCTTATTTTATTTAGCACAAAATTGAACATCAAAATGATAATGAAAGACAGTGACAAAAATAAAAGTGAATTAAAAAACAGCATGACAAAGAAGGAACCTCACCTGCAAAGCACACTTAGGATATTCAGATGAACCAAGAGCTGCCTAAACATCTATTTGAATAAAAAATCACCAGACCCTCTGAGGGGAACTTAGGAATACTAGCCAATGTCAGAAAGTATTGTTCTTAAAGCGGCTGGGGGAGTGGGGGCGTGCTGAAGGCTGCCTCCAATCTTGGACATACAGCTGGGCAGGGCAGGCTATTGTTGGTCATTTAACATCCCCTAGGGAGTTGAGATGTCTCAATTCAGTTCTTTCTTGTGAGAGCTTAGTTAAGGAAAACTCTTGGAGAGGCCTCTGGAAAGCCTCTGGCCCAATATTTGAGGACTCATCCTGAAGAAAAGGGTCAATAAGAAAACCAAAGGAGCAGACTCAAGGGATCTCAGTAAGAACTGCAAGACTGATGGGGAAAGAGAAACTTGTGTGGTTGTTGTAGTAGCTTTGGAATCAAACCAAGCCCAAATTCATCTCTGCCACTTAGAGCTTTGTGGCTTGCAACAAGTAATTTAATGTTTCTGAGCCTAAGTTTCCCCATTTGTGCAAATGGAGAGAAGCAGCTCTACAAGGTAGATGAATGTCTACTGGTGAATGTCAAAAGCCTGGCTTAGTTCCCAGTAGCTAGTGGTACACCGAAATTAACCCCCGCAATAGAGGCCATGTCATGCCTGGCTGTGGAAGCAGCAGCAGCGGAGGTGGCAGAGGGGACCTTGATTAAGGGCACCAGTTTTCAGAGTGGAGAGCACTGGAGGCAGTAACAGATGGAAGGTTCTGGTGTATCTTGAGCCGCAAGAGACTCTATCTGAAGGTAGAAGGCATTTGGCTGGGTTGGGGCCCTTGCGTGGTATAGGCTAGAGTCTGGAATGAAAGGTCTCTGAGATTATCCATCATCTCCAACACATACCAGGACTCAACAAATGTTACTCCTTAGCTTCATCTCTGCCCCTATATATTCAAGCAACAGTAGTTTAGCCTATAAAGGCAGTGGTACCTATGCAGTATGTAGAAAGATTAAAATGATAGCTGCCCTCCGTACCCTCATTCCTGTCCAGCTCACCAGCGTCATATCTGGCCACACACCATTGCAAACTCTGCTTTAACTATGCTGAGCTAATCACGGCTGCCAAGTGTTACATGCTTTGTCTGTTGGCCTTTGGATTTTCTGTTCCTTCCTTCTAGAACACTTCTTCCTCCTCACTACCCAAGCACCAGCCTCTTCACCTGCCTAGCTTCTTCTAGACAGCCTTCAGGTCTCAGATGCTACTTCTCTCAGGATCCGCCCCAGCCCTTTAAGTCTGGAGTAGTTGCCCCTTTTAGGTGCTCTCAAAATACTTGTTATTGCCTTATCAGAATATTTATCAAATTACATTGCAACTGCCTCTTTATGTGTCTGACTCATTCCAAAACAGTAAGCTATGAAAGCAGGAACAAGTTTGATCTTGGTCACCACGGCAACCGCGGCACTCAGCACAATGCCTGGAACATAAGTAGGTGCTTAATAAATGTGTCATGAATGAATGGATGGTGCCACCACCACCTCCACTGCTTGTGTGATGACACAGAATAGTTAATGAAAACACACAAAGGATTTCAATGCAGGAAGAGCCACTTAAGCTCAGACCCCAATTAGGAAGTCCTTTTCCTGGGAAAGTGGGGAAAGGAATTTATGCCCTCTGATTACCACAGCCTGGAGATCACAGGCACAGCTGGCCAAAGAACAAAAAGCTAGGAAGGGCAAAATTGAATATAGAGAGAGTCAGTGAGGCAGCACAAAGTGTTCACATTGCTAATAAGACAGGCTTCCAGTGAAGCACAGTCATCCCAGACCAGAGATCATGCAAGATATGTGCAGGATAGGTCAGTGCTCCTTAGCAGGACGCTGACTGGGCAAAGCAGAGGTTTGCCCTTGAGCAAAGTTCGAGTAATCACGTTTACTGGCAATGAGTCCATACGAAAGGAACTAATCATCTGAGCCTGGAGCAGGTGGAACAAGTCTGATGTGGGACACCCAAAAGTGTCCCTGCACCCAAAGAGCAGATAATGGCCTGGACCATAACTGAGGCTATTCTCTCCCAGTTGTCCAATCAGAGAAATCCAAAGGAGGTGTCAGACCCCCCGCCCCTTCCCTGCCCTGTGTAGAATGCAGGGAATGGTGCAGAGATCTTACACAGTAAAATACAAAGAGTGATCTCTTCTGCAGAGTGGGCAGGTGGCTGAAAGGACGGGCTTTGGGCTCTGCAGTCAGGCAGCCCAGGCGGAATCCTTGTTCTGCCACATATCAGCTCTGAATGGTGGCAAATTTCTCCATGTATAAAATGGGAATAATAGTAGTGTCCATCTCTAAGGATTGATGTGAGGATAACATGAGAAAAAAACATAAAGCATTTAGAAAAGTGTTTTATCAATAATCATTACTCAATTAATAAGCACTTATTAGCTATAATTATCATTGATAAATAATCACATCAAATTTTGCATTAAAGGATCTTTCCAATTATTGATAGAGACGAATAACTAGAGTGCATTCCAACCGAGAGCTGGAGTGGTCAAATCAAAGGGCTGCTGCTGTAATAAGACCTACTGCCCTCAGATACATTGGCCTTCTTTAAATGTTCATGAGTACTGATACTCACCCCGTTGGTTGTCCTTCCCTCAGGCTTGTATGGTTGCTTGAGAAGTTATAAAAGTAAATCAATTTACTCTGGACAAAATATCAGCAGCAATAATTTCCTTTTTTTTTTTTGGAGACAGGGTCTTGCTCTGTCACCCAAGCCAGAGCGCAGTAGCGTAGTCACAGCTCACTGCAGCCTCAACCCACTGGACTTGAGTGATCCTCTCACATCAGCCTTCCAAGTAGCTGGAACTACAGGTGTACACCACCACATCTGGCTAACTTTTGTAGCTTTTTTTAGAGATAGGGTCTCACTATGTTGCTAAGGCTGGTCTCAAACTCCTGGGCTCAAGCGATCCTCTCACCTTGGCCTCCCAAAGTGCTGGGATTATAGGTGTGAGCCACCATGCCCAGCCAGGAATAAATCTCCACACAAGAAAAATCTCCTTTTCTTAAAATATAAAGGGATTACTTATCTGCAAGTAATGTTGGAGAGAGCTCTCAGGGATTTTAAATGGCTCATATATTTTCACTTCTGCAATAAGATAGTAAGTGTTCTCTTATTTTCAGGCCATAATGAAACTGATGTAGATTGTCATTACAGGTCTCTGGATTCTTACCTTAGAGTCTTTTAGCCTCTAGAAGCCTCAGTGGATGGATTTGGGTTGGAACTGTGTACTCCACGATGTTACAACTAAAAGTTTATTTGTTTAGGGGAGGGAAGAGGTGGATCATTCTGAGAGAGAATTTGTAGAATTTCATTAGATTCCAAAAGGCTTCATGACTTGTAAAAGTTTAAGAACCATTGCTTTGTGTAATTGGTGTTCAAATTGTTAGCATCACTTTGATCAAACTGACTTTGCCACTGTCTGACAAGTAGCCATGAGGTGGCAGGAAGGAAATGACTTGGTCATTTTTAGTGTACAACTGCCTGGATGCAATGGAACAGTATTGTAAAGGTGAAGGCTCTAACGGCTGACTGCATGAGTTTAATTTCTGCCTCCACCACCTGCTAGCTGTATGGCCCCATGTAAGTTACTTAATTTTTTTGTTCCTTCCCCTTTTGATCTGTAAAATAGGGTAATGACAGCAGCTATTTCCTATCATTGTTGGGAGGTTGAAAGTGACTAGCACATAGTGTCAGTAACTGTTAGCTACTATTATTATCTGACCTGCCAATTTGACAAAAAAAGGATTTTTCATATTCGTTTCCATCAGTAAGTGGTAGGGAGACATCCTTGTTTATCCCTTTCTTTCTTTCTTT